ATGATCCCTCCTTCACTGGGAGATGAAAACTACTTTTCAAATGTGACATTTGTTTCACAGTTCATTTAGCCCCTAATCAGCTGATGGTTTCTGATGTAGCTTCTTTTGCCCTTCTCTATATTCCAGACATTGCTCTTATAATTTTCTCAGTCTTTCTTCTGAGCTGGCTGCTGTGTACTATGTTGCTTTCTAGACATATTTGAAGTTTCAGTAATGCATGAATTATCATAGTCAGGAGTGCTTCTGATGGTGGTGTTGCAATAATTGTAATTCTGCCTGCTCCATGTTCCACACAAGAATATCAGTCTTTTCTTTGGATTTATAGCTATTGGTGGTCATACCACTCCTGTTACAGAGGAGTTAAACCTGAAAATGTCTGGACTCAGGCTTCAAATTTCAAAACCACCATCTACCTTATATAAAGACCCTTATGTAAAGTGTAAACTGCACAGCAGATGAAATGGATATTCTTCAGAGGAAATCCTTGTAATCAATCCCTGGTGTATTTAGAGATGCTCCCCCTTGTAAACTCTGACCACTGCATGGCAGTATTGCATCAACATCACTGCGTTACCAGCCCTGAGGAAAGTTGCCTAAAATTATCCCAATATCACCCTGGTTAATATCACTTCTGCCGAGTGAATGTCTCCTCTTCCCACCGCTGGAATATGCTCAGAATAGGTTATGTGGTGCAAGATGGATGTTGGGCCTGCCTGTTCCTGTGCAATCCTTGCTTCTCTCCATCAAAACTTGATGGGAGCATTTGATTTTATATGATAGGCTCTGGTAACAGTAGGATGAGAAAGATGCTCATGCTGCCCTAAGGTCTCACTCCTTCTGGGGGACGGGAGAGAAGTACTTCACTTCTCTGCATAATTTAGGTGCTGGAATAAAACTCTTTCCTGTGCTGATCACAGAGCCCATCTCCCTGACAAGGCTGCTGGTTGGCAGTCAGGCAGGCAGCTCTGAGTGTGTGTACAATGCTGCTGTACATCAGTCACGTCTGGGGATTCTGGAGAGAGGGAATGGGCAGACATTGCTATTTGGCTACAGAAGGGTTAGGGTTTTCTTCCAGTCATTCAAAAACAAAGCAACCAAAAACCCGCCCTGTGACAAGAGGCATGATAACAAAGGGGAAGGAAAACGCATTGTTTTCAAGTTCTGAACTGGTGGTGGATTTCAACCATACATCCAAACCTCCTGAGTCTGGGAATACTGGGAGGTTGTAGCAAGGTTGGTCTCTTTTCCCAGGTAGAAATTGACTGCAGCAGAGGAAATAGCCTAAAGTTGTCCCACTGGAGGTTCAGATTGGACATTAGGAAGGAATCCTTCACAGAAAGGATAATTCGATATTGGAATGGGGTACCCAGGGATGTGGTGGAGTCACAATCCTTGAATGTGCTTAAGGAAAGACTGGACATGGACTTAGTGCCATGGTCTAGTTGACATGGGGATGTTTGGTCATAGGTTAGATTAAATGGTCTTTCCCTACATAAATGGTTCTGTGATTCAGTGACTCTGATATTAGGAAAAATTTCTTCACCAACAGGGTTATCAAGCACTGGAACAGAAGTGGCTGAGTTGCCACCCCTGAAGGTATTTAAAAGATGTGTAGATGCAATGCTTAGGGATGTGGTTTAGTGGTGGAGTTGGCAGTGCTAGGTTAATGATGCCAGGACCCAATGATCTTAAATGTCTCTTCCAACCTAAATGATTCTAGGATTCTATGAATTGGTTTGTGCATAAATTTTGTGGCTTTGGTAGGACCATGAGAAGTGTGACAGGTTTGAGCCATTGCAGTTTGGTTACTCAGGCTGTTGCCTCGTGCCAGCTTTGACACAACTGATGAGTTAACCAAGAGGAAATCGAACCCTACCCACGCCTGGAGTGGCAGTCCTTGGACCTGCAGAGGTCAGAGGCCAGAAGTGCCTCTCTAGGTATGCTGCACAGCTCTGCCCTGCTTCTGAGCCATCATACAGCCCAGTCAGAGGAGGAAACATCTGTGTGGTGCAACGCCAGTGCTCCAGCCTCCCTCCTGTCCCATGGGGGGGGGGGTTCAGACAGCCTAAGGAAAATGTTCTGCAATTCAGCAGCAGCTACTCACAGCTCATTGCATGGACTTGGGCATCTACAGTTAATCAAAGAACTTGCCTAATTTTTTTGATCTAAAAGCCCTGAACCCTCTGGTTGCTGTTGAATTAAAAAAGCGCCCTGTCTTACCTGTTTAAAAACCAGGTTATTTATACTTATATTTTATTATGTTTCAAGAAGATCCTTTATCTGTAGCTACACATGGAGAGAGACCCATGGCAACAATACACTTTTGCTAGCACAAGCAGGGAGGAGCTAGAAAGGCTGTACTGAAGCAAAATATAAGGAAATGGCTATGCTGCAGGTCTCCAGAGATTTCTTTTTGCTATTAGAGTCTAAATAGGTAGTGTATTTGCAAACAGGTTTTCAAAGCATAGTTATACATAAATAAAATGAACTGCAGACCCTCCACTGTTCAAAGAGGCATGTGAGCAGGAGCAGAGCATGGTTTGTGACCTGGGGCAGCAGTACTGTCTGGTTCTTCACTCTTTTCCCTGCTGCAGCCTTGGTACCTGTTGAGTAGCACTTACCAGGCAAAGCCCAGTTCTGCAGCAAGTGAGAGTGTGCTGGAGACCATCCCAGTTGGCATTCTGGGTGTGGACACCCTTTTTTGTGGAGGAAGATAATTGATCCCCATGGAAGTGATGCAGGTTGCCCTGCTTGGCTCAGCACAAGAAAATTTGTTCTTGGCTTGTTCTCTGAGCAACCATAGCCAGGAAGACAAACAGGAAAAGGCCTTGAAGTACTTCCAGAATTTGTTAAATCAATGGACAGCAAAAACTGTAAGTGGCTTGCCATTGGAAAATGAAAACAGAATCCACAAGCCCTCAAGCTAAGATCCTGGACCTTACATTTAATTACAATAATGTCCCTTTTTTTTACTGGGGCCTAAAGCAATATACAAATTTTATAGGCTTGGCAACATTGAAGTTCATGTCTTCCAGACTCAACATCTGCTATCTGACTTCCATGCCAGGTTTACTTCTGGTAATTTAATGAGAAAGATAAGTAATTTAGGCAAGAAGACCCAGATGCTATAACAAGTTGGAATACCCATTTCATTCTGTGGTACCGAGTTCCCTGCACACAGAGGTTAGCTCACAGCCTTTCTCCATGTTCAACTTCTGCTGCTTTTTGACTGCAGGCCATTTTTTGGCTCCAAAACAAAATAGTCTGCTAAAAGAAAAAACTGACTGTTGCAGACCTGGAGCATCGCTCTGAAAGAGCAAGTAAATGATGTGACTTTGATGATTTCAGATCCTAGATGTAATTTTTATCACTTGCCCAATTCCAAATGGGGTCTGATTCAATTTTACATCTCAGCTCTGTAGCTCAGCAGAAACCAAAGCAATTTTGCTCTTCAATAAATCCTATATATTAATGTTTTCTACCCTGAAAACCAGTGTGTTAACACCCAGCATCTTGTTGCAGTTATTTATATATGTACCCAGAGACAGATTATTTACTTTTCCTTCCCCAAATTCCATTTTCCCTCCAATACTGAGTCGGGATTAATAAGTGCATGTGCATGTGTATATAGCTACTTCTTTTTAAATAAACTCAGTGCTAGAGGTCACATTTAGAGGCTCAGTTTATATGGTAATCTTTAAAAACAGACAGCCTAAGCACTGGAAAATGCATAGCAGCAGGGATTAGTCCCATATTAGCAGACAAAGAGGCTTGGTTTATTAATAATTGTTTAAGTCTCATTTCCATGCTTTTTGACTACATTTGGTCTTCCCCTTACATGGGCACCTGCCAGAGGCGTAATGGAGTGAGAGAAGAAACAAGCCCTTTTTCAGTTCACAGAACCCCAATTCTTTATTAATCACAGCTTGCTCACAATGACATACAGGAAAATAGCACTAATGAAGAGTAGAATATGCAGGCAGCAACCTCCAGGGGGGTAGGGACAACTTCAAAACTGCAGCTATTCTGGGGATGATGTGTTAGGTTTGGTGATATTGTACTTGGCACAAGCACCCTGTCCAGTCATTCCTCCTGCTTCAGCCCTCTTAGTCCTAGATGTCTGTCACTAGGTAGGGTTGGCTAACACTGGAGAGTAAAGGTCATGATGAATGGAAGTCAGCAGTGTCATAAAAAAACAGTAACAACTGGCTCATGAGTTCCAGGTGAAATATTCGGTAGCCTCTTGTACTATTACACATGTAATGTGGTAGCATCAGATAAGTATCATAGATCATGGCATCTATAGATAAAGCCACTTGATGCTATCTATTAGTTGCTCCATCAATAAGTTTTCAAGTGGTGAATTAAGCTCACTTTACAGTTAGCATTTGTATGGCTGTTTGGCATCATCCAAAACTTGTCATAGCTTGATGGTTACAACGTGCCTCTTAAATTTGTCTCAAACTGATCTTGCTTGATTTCATTCTGTTGCACAGCTGTTTTTGTTGTGTCTCACCTCAAAAAGCAGAAGCAACAAACACTACATGGTAATTCAACCTCAACTGAACAGCACAGTAGAGAGTCCTGCAGCATAAGTTGCATTTGAAAAACCATTTTCAGAGCCTTTTTTCTTGGACAGCTGAATGTGAAGTCACAATACCTGTGATCTAGTCACTGTTTCAAGAAAGCTTATAGATGGCAAAGCAGTCTAGGTTATTAGGCAATGACTGGCCTCTAGCACCATAGAACTACTACTGACCTCATGGTGGGCTGGAACGAGAAGTCGCAGGGAATGGAATTAGACATGAGGTGCTTCAAATGAACAGACCCAGCAAATTCAACCGAGTGGAAATAGACAACATCAGAAGCCTGTTACAGGACATGTAAGATTATGAAATAACTTGCATAATGCAATAATTGTATTTTTTAACAAAAATGTAAGTATTTACAAAATAAGATCCAAGTTTTTTAAACATCAAGCAAATCATTCTGCAAAGAGACCGCATTGTTTTTGTTTTTATTTTTTTGTTTCCTTTTAAAGTTTTTTATTGAGTTCATGATTTTTACCTTTTTTTTAAACCACGTCATACATTTCCCATACTTATATCGCATGATCCATAATAATATAGGCAGGGGGAGTTTACTAATGGTGGGGATGGGTCACATCCACCATTGCTGTTTTCAGCCAGACAGTTCCACCTGGAGCTCCTTGTTTCTACGGACCTCTGCAGCATGCCTCTCCTGGAAAACATCAAGAAGGGAAAAATCAAATCTTTTTCTCATTCCACCCGCCCAGGGAGCTTCATGCTGACAACCTGTTTAGATCATGCATTTGATGCTTGTGCAAAACCTGTTTCACAGCACAACCATCTTTAAAAGAAGCAACACAGGAGAGGTGTCATCCACCAAACCAGCCTGAGGCACGTTTTTTATTTACTTTCTATTCCTGCTCTGGAGCTCAGGCTTTTATCTGATATGGCTTTATAGTCCTCAGCACCTCACAGCGTTTCATTTAAAAGGGCCGCATAGAGAGTTGCTGCTTGCAGCATAAAATGTGCCATTTGCTCACATATGCCCTTTGAATTCATGGGTGTTAAACTAAATATAGGGAAGGACGAGTGAGGAATTAATTGCCTGCACATTGTATGTTAGTTACTCTGTTATCTGTAGCATTTAGGAACGGTAATAACGATCCAAAAATTTAGTCTCAACAAGTCAATCTGAACATCTCAAACATCTCCTTGGTCTGAACAAAGAAGCTACCTGTCCTCTTGATTCTTTCTCTGGCTATGATGAAAAATACCACCTATTGTACTAACTTAACCTGTGAATCAGTCTTTCAAAGATCTGTAATACTGAGTGCTAGATTTTATACAGGACTTGTTGCTTGGTGCTCCTGTTAACTGCAGTATACAGAAGTTATTTCTGCAGTAGCTTCTAGACACCAACACCTTGGGGCACCCACAGCTCTGTGTAACTTTGGAATACTTGGAACCAGATATTTCACTAATTTTTCTGTATATTAAGTATTCACATTTGATGTTGGCAAATTATGGGGTTTTTTTGATGTTTTAGTGTTGGCAAATTGGTATTTTTTCATTACTGGTCAGTGCAAATGTTTCCAAGTAAGTTACTGTCATCTTTCCTCAGAAACCTTTCTTGGGTTTCATGAATATATACCATCACATTTCTGTGGAAACAGGGTTTGGCAGTCTGTTAACATTAACCTAGGACACAGAGATGCATCATCTGTTCTTCCCACTTCCTCTTGGACCTCAAGGATAACTAATTTGCTTTTTCCTTCATTTTCTTAAGGTCTGGGTATATGCCTGCAAAGGAAGCTAATGCAAAAATGACAACACATCTGGGTATAGTTCCTAAACTCAAGAATTATCCTGTTTGTGTAGTTACTTGTAACATCATACTTTGGATTCTGTTGTTTCTTTCCTACTCTCAAACACTTTTGTCTTCATGAAAGATGTACAGGTTCTTATAAAGATCTCCTTGAAAACCTCTGAGAGCTATTTTCTATAGCCAAATTACTAGTATATTAGAAAGTTCATTATTGAGAGAAACAAGTGATCACTCATTCAAAATTAATTAATTTTTTCTTAACGCTTCTAAATCTTTATTTACATATTTCTCTCCCTTGTGTGAAGGTTTCTTTTGGAGAAGGGCATACTTCATTCTGCATCTAGGGTTTGTGATTCCCTGTTTCCTCTGGATATACCAAAGATCTCCATAGGAAAATCTACTCTTTTCCTTGAAGATTTGTGGAAAGACAGACCTCTTTTGCTCTATAGGAAAGAATTTTTTCCCCATAATTTTTCATCTTTCTCCTTTGAGAAACCATTAATTACAGACATAGGGCAGTTGTTTGATTTGATCCGTGACTTTTCTTAGAAGCTGAAATCTAAACACAAGTGACTTTTCATTTGTTCACAGAACTTCTTAAAAGCTAGAAAACCAACCTTTCTCTAGAGACAGTCCAACAAAGGGCCACGAGGACTAAGGAGAATCTCTGTCTCTGCTGTGAGGAAGGCTGAGAGAACTGGATTTTTCAGTTTGGAGACAGCTCAGGGGGATCTTACAAATATCTATAAATACCTGAATGAAGGGAACACAGAGCCAGGATCTTTCCAGTGGCGCCCAGTGAATGATCAGGAGCAATGGGAAAAAACTGAAACCCATGAGGTTTCCTCTGAACATCAGGGAACACTTTTTCATTGTGAGGCCACTGAGCACTGGCACAGGTTGCCCAGAGTGGAATTGAGTCTTCATTCTTGGAGATACTAAAAAGCCACCTGGACATGGTCCTTGGCAACTGTGGCACCCCCTTGAGCCTGGAGTTGGACCAGATGATCGCCAGAGGGCCCTTCCAACCTCAACCATCCTGTGATTGTGTCACTGTAGCACTTCAGTAATTTTTCAAAGTGAGGGGGGATTTAGACAGGCATCAGTAGCTCTTATGTAAAAGTAGCTCAAGTGTAGCAGCTGAGATAAGGACTATGTACAACATCTCTGCAAAATATTTATTAGCTTTTTCTCTCTAGTCTAAGGTGAGGAGTGATGGTGTGGTTACCTTCTCTTGGAGGCGTTCAATAAGAGCAGCTAAATTAGCTTCACGGTTTTCTTTGATCTGTTCCATTTTCAGTATCAGCTTTTCCTCTGCCATTTTGCTAAAGTTATTGTTCTCCTCCAAAGCTTTTTGAAGCACTTCTCGCTCATGTTCTCTCTTCTCTGCCAGATGTTTCAGCACCTGGGCCTCCTGGGACTGGAAACAAGAGACATAGGCTGAGAACAAATACTTGTGAGGAGTAAAGCATGTTGCCATGTTGCCAGGGAGCACAGGACCTTGCTATAAGGCAACAGTCCCCTGAGTGTGGAACCTGTGTAAAGCTTGCTGCATTTTTTTAGACAGGTCACTTTGTGGCTGAAGTGGGTTAGCCTTGAAACCACGGGTTTAGAAGCACTGGCTAAATGTGGGGTACATGCCTGAGGCAGCAGCACAGAAATGTCCAAAGCATTTCTGTAAACAAGAAATGCTGATGTGCTGCTGCCCTGGCTCGCCTGGATTGCTGCAGTGGTTGCTCAACCTCTGACAGCTGCAGTCTCTTAGCCACAGGCCTTTTATCTTTAGAGATAGGGACCTGGGGTTGAAGAAATGTACAGTTAAAAGGCAGATTGCTGGTGCAGGACAGGTGCAATTTTCACCCAGGCTGGACTCTTTAATGTGCTCAAATAGTTAATAGCCATTTATTGACATGGAAGACAGACAGCATCAATTCAGACAATGTTTTTTCCCATTACATTCATATTCAGTTTAATCTAACTGATTAGAAAGGAGAAAAAAGTGTTTTATTGCATAGACCATAGCAAAAAAATTTAGTAAAAAGATTTATTTTTTAGTTTTTCTTTTTCAAGGAAGATGAAAACTGCAAGTAGGAATGAAACAGATGCAGTCTATGCTTAATATTGTTTTCTTCCTTGTAAACTCGCTTCTCATAAGCATAAGCTTTGTTATTTATATTAAATCAAATTTCTAACAGGAAACCACTAATCCTAGGAAAGAAGCCAAAAAACTTGCAGCATTGGCCTATTCTCCAGGCAAGTCTAGTTGAAAAGACAGTTAGCTGGAAACAATGAACAACATCATACACTTCTGGATAAAATAAATGAGAGGCAGCATGAGAAGAACAGAAAATCAGAGAATGAAATAGGGCGCTGGGAGGCTAAATGCATATTTCAGTGCTGATCCCAAGGCAACTGTGTTGCCATTGTGATCCATAAAAATGAGTTAGTTTATGGCCTAAATTAACGGTTTTAACTATTAATTACAATTAGTGGTAATGAAATCTTTTAAATTCTATCATGTAGCTTTAAATGGACTGAAAAAGGCTGCAATTCTTTTATACAAGCAAGACTCAACTAGGAGAAAACAAATATTTAAATGAAAGTAAGATATGCATAAAACCAAGTGCACTAACAGGGCAAATAAAGCAGATTCTAGAAAAGGCTGCAAAAGGCCGGGTAGAACATCTTGCAGCAAGATATTGGAGTAAAACACATCTGGCTTTGAAAGGCTGTAATGGCCTGCTTGAGATCATAGGAGAGAGCCACTTCCATCCATCCTTATCACTTCATCCATCCACCATTATCACTTAATGAGTTTCACCTCTGGCCTGGCTGCAGGTACAGGCTCATTTCTAAAACTGATCTCTGGAGCACCTGCTGGTAGGAATCCTGGAAAGGCTGGTACCTCCCTGGGACTTCCTTGCTCTTCTCTCCCTTACAGCATGTGCTGAACAGAGTAATAGAGCAAGCATTTTTCATGTCTTTGACTCTGTTGTGCCAGATGAAAGATGCTGCAAGTGGAAACAAAGCCCCTCAAATAGATGAAGCCAAAAGTAGGGAGAATTTCACTGGCGGAATATGGAAGAAGGATGAGCCAAAGACAAGGAGAGCTGGGCAAAGAAGGAATTTTGTAGAGCAATTAAAAAAATCATAAGAGCCCTGAAAATATCAAAATTTTTAATAATAATATAATAAAAGTAGTTTCTTTTGAAACAAAATGTTTGATTTCAGATACTTAGAATTTAACTATTCTTAACTGTAAGTTATTTTACTATGCAAAAAAGTTATTTTAAGAGATCTGATACAATGTAAAACTGAAATAATTAAATATTTTCATCTTTCTTTCCCACTTGTGGACAAACCAGTTTGATTATTACTTGTGAAGTTATTCAGCATTTTCTGTTTAATTTGCTACTCAACAGCAACATCTCATCTGCTTTTGGAAAAGTTATGATCATTAAATTTTGTTTGCTGATATGAATTTTGTGAACACTTTGTTTAAATGATCTAAAAGTAATGGATAATCTGAGAATGCATTTCTTTTCCTGTTGTGAGTTTGAATAGAAAAGACACCATCAGACTAATTGTAATGTCCTTTCCCATGAAACATTTCAGAAGTGACTTGTTAATCTGAAAGGCTAACATTTCATGGTGTTTAAATATGCATATATAATTTATTATTAAATCAGACCTTTTCAGATTTGGAAAACAATTTTCATACACTAATAAAAAGTAAGATTTGGACTATGCATATAAGAAGCATTTTTTAAAAGAGCATTTGCTTTCAATGAAGGTAGCAAAATGCCTTTGAGATTTTGAGGCACTTGCCCATTTTTCAAGGTTTGTTTTCTTCTATTCAAATCCTTTGCCTTCTGGAAAGACTTTTTATCATAAATCCTTTAGAACAGTGAAAAATTAGAGTTTCATGTCAAAGTACACACATTTCTGGATGCTCTGCAGGCAGACAGTACATTCATAAGTAATTCGTCCTATAATTCAGGATGATGAAGAAAATCCTTATAATCTAATTCAGTTGTTACTGGATGCAAATTGCCTTGGCACCAGAAAGAGACTGCTTGAAAGCTGAAGAGGCCTCAGGAACTGACTGCAAACCCCTAATGTGATTTTCCTTTACAATATGTCTTTAATGGCATATTGTGACAAATTTTGAGATGAGAAAATAAATCACTGGTACCCAGGGCTGGTTCAAAATAAGGGAACTCCCCTCCCTGCCACAAAACATCCACAGGGTAAAATCTCATTTAGACTGATGTCCCTTCTCTAATGGCATTGTACCCCAGCTGTCAGTCTGCCTGTTTCCCTGCTGCTCAGACCATTCTGAAATCCCCTTACGACAATTCTGGAGGCGCCTGCTATGTGTTTGTACTGGATTGTCAAATGATTTTCTGTTTCCAACCCATTTGGCAAAAGAACTTGGCCACCCTGTCTGTTCAAAGTCTACTACACATCCAGAAATGGGTAAATGAATGACCACGGATACCCAGGGGAGCTGGGATTAATAGACTCCCTTTGTTGTTTGTCTTGGCTTTTAAATGTCTGTGTTTGGACTCACACAGTTCCACAGTGATGCAACATAGGAGGTTTTTATTTCAAATCTATTTTCAACACTATTTGAAGTGCTGGAAAGGATATTTTCAAATTTTTGATAATTCTAACACAGTTGTATACGGCTTATGGTGTTTCTTGTACAGATGTGGTGAGAAAATGAAAAAAAAAAAAAGGCTGCAAACAAGATGAAAAATAAGAAGATTAATAAGGAGGGGAAAATATGAAATGGTGGAGAAAACAAAAATCAATATTCAAGGGGGACTATTCAGAAGACTTCTTAAATATAACAAGGCATAACCAGTGCAGCTCCAGCTGCAGCATCTAATTTTACATCATAGAATCAAAGCATCATAGACTGTCTTGGACTGGAATGGACTTTAAAGATCATCCAGTTCTAACCCCCTGCCATAGGCAGGAACATCTTCCACTAGACCAGGTTGTGCAAAGCTCCATCCAACCTGATCTGGGGCACTTTGAGGGATGGGGCACCCACAGCTTCTCTGAGCAACCTGTGTCACTGCCTCACTGCCCACACATTAAAGAACTTTCTCCTACCATCTAATCTAAATCACTCTTTTCCTAGTTTAAAACCATTCTTCCTTGTTCTATCACTATCTGTGCTTGGGAAAAAAAAAATCACTTTCTCTCAATTTTACAAGCCCTCTTAAGGTACTAAAAGGCCACAAAATAATGTGGAGAAACAAAAATATTTATTTGTTAATATTAAAGATGGAGGAATAAAAATATTGGAGAATAGTCCTGGTACAGGTAGCTTTGCTCCAAGAAATATACTGATGTGCTAAAAATGCAGACAAACTCCTATGATGTTCATGTCATATTTTTAAGGGATTATGTGCATCTTCAGTTTTCAGAGATGAGTGGTTCAAAAGAAAATCTACCTCTGGTACCTAGATGGCTGGAGATAGATGCAGACTACTAAACACTCACTTCATGAGCAAAATTAGTTATGGAAATTGGCTTTGGAGATACATTGTTTAATTATTATTCACATGAAAAAAAATTCTCCTTATCTGAGTAAGAGCTGCTTTATTTTCTCACATCTATCTATCTTTGTTTGACAGATATATCAAAATACTGTAGTAATTTATATGGAGATAAAATTAATCCTTTATTGCTCTTAAACAAGAAATGGGTTCACACAATTGCTTTTAAGCTGGAAATTTCAGCTTGAATGCATTCAACCTCAGATGCCAGTACCCTTAGTTACTAGGGTGTCTGAGACACACCACCAGTCATGAGTGCTCCTCTTTCAAAATACATTTGTTCACTGACTGATTTTTATTTTTTTTACAATGCAGTGGGTTCAGAAGAAGCTGCAATAATGTTGGTATTTCTCTGTGTATCTAAGAGATACTATTAATGGAGCTGATTATGAAGGTGGGAGGAAAGGTTCCTACTGCAATGTAAATGCCAAGGTGAAGCCTTGGTGTGGTGACTTGAAGTACTGATGTTTTCAGGGGAAGGAACTGAGGATGGCATTATGAAGTTAATGAAGATCAATGTCAAGTTGTCTTATGGTTGTTCATTAGTGGCAGAGCCCATGGCAGAGTGGGGAGAGATTGTTTGCCAGCACTGGGATGTATGCTCATGGCTCCATGTGCTCTGAGACAGACCCTGGTGCCTAACACCAATTCCTCTCCTTGCTGGTAGCAAACATCTTCCTACACACCCATATTCCATAGGCTAATGTGTGGTTTTGGAGGAGGATCTGTGAAGTTTCTTGGAATTTTGGCTATCTTTGGTTACTTAGGACAGTTGTTACTTGGACAGTGGTTACTTACAGTAACCATTGTGTATAGACACACTGTGGTGTAAATCAAAATGTGACAGAAACATCTGTTTCAGGTGCTGATTACACCTATTACTGGAACCTTTACATGGAAAAATGCTTCATGCTGTGTTACTTCTCCACAGAAGCACAGCTCAGGGCCAGCAGCAATCGAAAGGGAGATTGATAGATAGGCAAGGCAGGAGACATGTCTTGGGCACTGCCTATCCTCATGCCCATCCTTCTCACCTTACAGTTTGGTGGGAAAGGGTAACAGAAATGAGAAAGCTCAACTTTTGACAGGGAAGGAGCACTCCCTTCTCTGTCTGTCATCTGGAGCAGCAGTTCTGTAGGTGCCATGCAATGTCCAGGGGGGAACATCTGTCCCCCAGCTCTGCTGCCTTCCCTGCCTTGGCAAAGCCCTTCCCCCATCAGCCTCCTGTACAGAGCAGTAAAGCATGGATGGCCAAAGCAGGGATGGATTAAGAGTGTCAAGAGCTGCCTCTGGGCAGGCTGTGGGGCTGGCTCAAAGGGGCAGTGAGTTGGATGCTGAAGCCCAGCACTGAGTGTGGTCCTGATGCTGGCAGAGGTGCCCTGGGCTGGCTGCTGCTGTGGGGAGCACAGTGAGCCTGACCCAGACCAGGCTGCACAGCAGGCTTGTCTCGTGGCATGTCATTGGCATTCAAAACCCAGGAAGTGTAAGTCTACATCCAACAGCATGAAAGTAAAAAAAAAAAAATAAAGACTGTTTTCCTGCATTCTTTGTCACACTAAGCTCTAGGGATAAGCTTGATTCATTTTCATCCCAATACAAAGCCATTAAAAGGATTTATTTGCATACAATTTCTCTTCTACAATCCAAAGTCAAGAAGAAATGCACATCCTTTTAGTGTTTCTTTTTTTGTGCTACTAAGTAAATTGAACATAGGCAATAAAAATAAATAATTTGACATATGCCCCTTGAAGTCTGTACACCACTAATAATAACAGGTGAACATTCAAGGCCAATGGGTAAACATTGATAAATGACAAATATTCTGCAAGTAAAACTTCTGCTGCATACAATGTCACAGTGCTCTAATTTCTTAACTGAGAAGGATGAAAAGATCTTCCTGATTATCCAAGGAAAATATAGCACACATATGCCAAAAAGAAAGCAAAGATAATAGTGACATGCTGTAAAGAGGATTCTATAAGTGGAAAGGACTAATCTGTAACTAGCCAAAATGGTCATGTCAGGTGAGGTAGAGAAAAAAGGGGAGAAACAGAAAGGAGTTCTGTAAAATCTTACAAGGAAGTAAACAAGAATGACAAACTGGAAAAAGCCTAAGCAGGAGACTGCTGAAGTGCATGTATTGCTCTAGATGGTCTCATGAGTTTGAAAATTTGTTAATGAACACTGCCTAATTAACAGAGCAGACTCTAACTCCTAAGCAGCATAAAATTCATTAGCAACTTGTTTTCCAAAAAGGCAATTCTCATCCATTAGTTATATTGAGTTAGAATTCTGCTGGAAGGACAGGATCTAGAATAGCCATTCCTGACAACTTTGTACATAGGTTGAAAAGTATGATAATAACAGCCAGGTTGGCTTTTAGAAAAAGTCTGCCTGGTTTGTCTAGCAGCAGAAAGTGGAAGAAAATGCTGACGGAAACTCTAGATGAAGTTGGGCAAATCTCTCTAGCTTTCATCAATCAGTAAGTTCCATATTTTCTGAGTCACAAGTTCCATCCACATAATAATTTCCTACAAGGTAGTGTTCTATCAATTTTCCTATTATATTTTTTAACTAAATAATATTTTAATAACCTCTAAACAGTCTGTGATAACAAATATACCTTGAATAAACAATACATGAAAACATGATTCCTTTTTGAAATTGCTGTCTGATAGTTTCATTGAATGTTTTGTGCCCTTTGAGCTGTATGAAACAGAATATAATTGTTTCTATTCATCTCCTAATTACCATTCACGACTTTGTAGACTTCTATTTTATCTTTCATCTGTAGTCTATTTCCCAGCTCAAAAGTGGACTGTTTAATTTATCTTCTTATGGAAGATTTTCTGTTCCTCTAATTGGTTTTTTATTCTTCTCTGCACTATGCTTTTTTTGGCCACAAATGAAGTCAATAGTTAAGATATGAGAACACCAGGGATTTTAACAGTGATGTAAAGAAACATTTTGGTCTGTTCCTTGTTCCCTTTCCAGCAATTTCTGCTGCAATGCTAATGTGGAGGATCTTGTCTATTAAAATAACTCAGTTTTATGTTCATTCAAAATGAATATAGTATCAAGGGGAAGGAATGGCAGGTGTCTGTACTGCTATCACTGCTTACCAATCTATTGCATGATGAGTTTTTCTTTAGGAAGAAATTAACAGTAATGAAATCAATGGAATTAAATCTCTGAAACATTCAATTTGTATTTTCCACCAACTATATGCATAATATCAGGCCTTTTATTGCTTTTATTTAATTCTGTGTCTGTATCTTTACTCAAGCATTTGTACTCAGCACGGAGTAACTTCACCAACTGAGTTTTTGGGGATTATCATAACTGGAAGGAGTGAGAGCTCATCCATCTCAGCAGGTGCTAGTGCAAATGGAAATTCCTTTGATATACAGTCACGCCCTCTTACTGAAATGAATGCTCTGGCAGAAATATTTGTTTGAAAGAAGCGATAGTGCTAATGAGTGTGTGCTAGAACCACAGAGCCATTGTTAGCAAGCCAGCAAAAATGACAAAAGTACCAACACACAACCAACATTGTTCAAATTAGCAAGGTCCAGAATAGTCAGTTTTCACTGCAAATTCAAAAAATTTTAAAGACCTGTCAGTAATCCAGATCTACTGACTTCAGCAGACACATAACAAACCACACACCAGGGTAACTATTCCCTTGAGGTTCTTGGCAGTGACCCTGATCTGGCCTGACAGGAATGAAAGAGAGTGGAATTGCTTTTCCTGGACCTGATCCATGTGCTATCTATGGCACAGATGCTGTACCTGAACTTCTGTATATGTTTTTGATGACATCAGGAAAAGTTCTGTTAACAGCAGTTTTAGCAAGAAATCATATTGTTTAAAAGATAAATTAAAGACTTAAGAGACATATAAGCTTGTTTCATTTTCAGAAACCCTCTACCAGGGACTCCATGGGCAGGTAGAAGGGATTTCTAATGCCTGTGCAATAGTAACTGTGCAAGCTTCTTTGCCACAAAATAACATTGATCTCCTGGGTGAAGGACACAGAAAGCCCTAAGGTCCTAAAGCTTCTGTGATTCTCCTTTTGTGTATCATCAAAAAGAAACATGAATTAACCAGGACAATATATTACCAATTTTAATTTTTCTGTGGTCATTGCAGCCAGTCATGACTCTTCTGAAATGGTGCAACACAGCACAAATGTTGGGCATATATAGAACACTGATAGTTTCCAGACTGGCAATTCAGGCTAATTATGGTGAGTGTCTCATTGTCATCTTCTGACTTATCTGATCTAGAGTTTGTCTTTTTCTTTTTGTAAAAAGTAAAAAGAAAGGATATTTCCAGCTGCCTTTGTGCCAGTCTTTGTGCCAACCTTTGTGAAAAAGTTGTAACAACTCTTCCAAACGCTATGTGACAAACTTAGTGATTATGAAACAGAGCTTTACCATTTATGAGTGGGATCATAAAGAGGGGAAGACTTAGTCGGTGGAAAACACTTGAAAGCCATCACTATGGAACTGCTAGAAATGCTTCTTAGCCTCTGTGCTATGCTAGTGGCTTCATTCAAGCGTGTGTGAATGATTCCAAACTCACTCTGTTCAAGGTATTCTTCTATATTGCATAAATAAGACATTTTAGCTGCCTTATACAGACCCTGTGAATAATTTCCATGGACTCTACGAGGAGTCAAGATCCAGTAGCGCTGAAAGCATGTGCTTGAATTGCAGATCTGTCTCTTAAACTCAGACACAATAACTGTTTTGAGCAACTATCACAGATGCCCTGAATGAACCATTAGTTTTGTTCACACTGTATGCAAGTGCATTTAGCCCACTTGGCCCCTGTCTGAAGCTATGTCTAGTTTGTGATGCACGCTTCTCCAGCATTGAAACCAGTGAGGCTTGTTTGCAAGCTGCTGAAAAGGCAATGAACTCGTTCATTTCTATAAACATATTGATGATTTTTGTCTGTGCAGGCACCATGAGTCAGTGATGGCAATGGAAAGCACACAGACAGTAAACTTGACTGCTATGCTGTACACTAAATCATGCCTAATTACTAGCATTTTTTTAAGGAAAGATACCTTTCTCCTCTCCTCTGCAGCCTCCAGCTTTTTCTGGATCTCCTCAAGAGACAGTTCTTTCTTCTTTGGAGAAGCTAAAGTTCGTGGTGCTTCTGAGACTGGAGATGGCGGCTTTAGGATCAGTTCAAAGGCCTGGCCTGAGGCACGTTTGTTGATTTGTTTCACTTCCATGTCTGCACAATAAGGTGGGAAATTGTAAGTCCTTCAATACACCAGCAGTATTGAGGAGAGAAGCAGCACTGATATCAGAGTAGGATCAGAAGCACAGACAAATGATTTAGCATCTTTGCTTTGGGCATTTTAAATGCAATGGCAGATTATGAACTGAAAACTGTTCTCAGGAGTACATTCCATTTTATCTGTAATAGCTTAATTATACCTTAATCTCATAAAGATAAAAATTTGCAGCAATTTTGGAACCTTATTGAGGTTCTGTGCCATTTCACATCCCCTGCAAGCAATGCCCAAGCTGGTTAATTTTTTAGGCATGCTTTCATCTTTTCTTTATTTTCTTGGGAATTATGCCAGCTATGAAGAGCTGTAATTCTCAAATGGGGAGTAGGGAAATAACAGGTCAGTACGAGAAAAAGTTTAGATAGCTTAGGAACAATATCCAGCATCATGGGTACTGTACTCTTCATAGAAAGTAACAGCCCAAACCATCAATTAAGTTATTAAATCAGCAAAATATTCACTAACTAACACAATGGACAAGAGAACTGAGTTGTTTCCCAGCACTAGCACATTTTATGACATGCAAGATGATTTCCAGTAAACATCACTCACCATCATATTTATAGATGTTCATGTTGCGGGGTTCCGGGTAAAAACAGGAGCAGATCAGCGAGAGCATGGACAGCTCCTTCATCTTTTCCTTGTAAGCTGAAAGGAGAGATCTTGTTAGCATGCTTCACTTCCCCAGCTCCTCCTCTGTGAATCTTGAGCTGAGATGAGTGGCTGGGGACCAGAAAGTCTACTCCATCACCCACCTGGCAGATTTCTCCAAATATTTACTTTCAACTATTTCTTCTCAACACAGAACCTTTATCAAATCACAAATGAGATCCTCAGAACTGGCTTCAGGTCCTCTACATGACCTCAGCCTTGGGCATAATGCAAGCAGTGCTCTCTGGTTTATAGAAAGTGAATCTGGCTACCAGGAAATGCATTTAGCATTGGAAGAGTGCCATGACTCCACTCTCCCCTGGCAGGTGGAGAGACAAGAAGCTCTTAAAGTTTCTCTGATGTATCCAAATGCAATTGAGAACAGCTATGAAAAGCTGGACATATATTGCCATAGGATAAAGACATTATTTTACAAGTGAAAATGTCATACAGAAAATTACAAAAAAAAAAACAACCAGAAATGAGGATACAGTTATCAAATAATTTGCATAATGTCCTTAATATGCTTAACTACCTGTCAGTAATATGCTTAACTAGCTGAAACAAACCTTCTCCGTCCCCACTTACTGGGTAAAATATGTGGCTTTCATACTCAGGTCTAGTCTATATTATCTGATGCCATTAATGCCCTTGTAATTTACCTTTATGGTGCTATCTTTGCTGACTTTATAATGCCTGTAGGACCCAGTCATGAACTGAGGAGGCAGTGGTCTAAAAATGCTCAAACTAATACATAATCACGATGCAGTGTGCTCTGCTCACCCTTCCTAATTGCTTTTAAGTAGGAAAACAGTCTCATACTGTGTTGCTTGGCAAGCCAATGACAGAGCCCAGATTGGAGCTGGCTCTCCTGGGTCCTGGGGCAATACCCTGCCCACTGCCCACAGCCCATAACACATGGATTTTAAGGCAGAGTCCTTCAAAATTCATGTTGGCACACAGGAATCCCTGCTATTATCAAAATCATATCTACAGAGGCAGACACTCATTTGCTGCCACAATGTGAAAACATGGCTTAAAATATGTGTGACTCAAAGATTTAACAGATTAGACCAAATTAGCCCTTGTGTTGATAAAAGAATATCAGATGGTCCTTTGATCTTCAAACTGTGGATACAAATGAAATTCTCAATCAGCCTTTCTCATGTATACTCTTTTGGTTTTTGATTTTGCTTTTCCTACTCAGAAAGAAACCTGAGATTGATGAGGGCTTGAGAGCCTTTGGGTGCTGCTCAGTATGGTGGTATTTGAATAATCCACAGTTCAAGAAAACATTTCCAGCTGCCAGTAAAGGATTAGTTAATTTAATTAAGCTTTGCATAAGGGACTCTAACTATGTACCTTGAATAACTCACTTAAAGGAGATATATCTTTTCAGAAACCATTGGTAAAGTGTACTGAAGACTTTGCTTTCAGTGAATTTAGGCTGTCATGGAAGCTTGGTCTTGACATGATTTTGGTTTGAAAACTAAGTACCAGCTTGCAAGGAATAACTCAAAAATCTTCTGAAGAGAAAAATCTTGTCCATCTGATGTATGTTGAATTACGAATAATGACAAACATAATGACTTTTTCACTTAGACCTCCATCCAACAAGCACATTGGTGTGGTTTTCCAAACCTTTCCCCGAGGAGGGCTTGCCTAGCTAGCTACCCCTACTACTGGAATTGCATTCTTCCCAGGAGCAAAGCTGTGGAGTGGCTGCACATCAAACCCTGGCAGGTTGCTAACCATAGAGGAAAGAGACACTGGGCTAAAGTGTGTTAAAGATGTGGCCATTGATGATACAAGCATAATCTTATAAAAGATCTGCCAAATCCCTGCTAAAATGTATACCTTGAAATATCTTTGTAGAAAAAGGCATGCAAAGCAGCATCCTAAGAATCTTGCTTTTTGGGGCCTTTGTTAATATTTTTTATCTTTGCTTGACATTGAATATATTTTGCTTCCTTACAGCATTTTAAAAGATTAGAGAAAGGTGTTTTTTTTTTTTTTTTTTTTTTTTTTTTTTTTTTTTTCCCCCCCAGCTTGCCATCTGCAAAACACAGCACGAAAAAGATAAGAACATGCCCAGCTCTCTTTCCTTCAGTGCAATAGCTGCACTGAAAGCATGCAGGCAAAATAATTGTCTTAGTTAATTATGGCCACTGGCAGAATTAGAATGACTTTCCATTCTTCACAAGAATCACTCTTTGTTTTTTTGTGGTATTGATTTAGTCTGCACTTGCCCTAGAGATTCCTTCAACCATAGCTAGATCTTGGCATGAATACCCACAGAGGTTCTGGAGGCTTCTGCAGCCCTGGGAACCAAACAACCTTCCATGGTGGCAAACACTGGTTTTCCTGTTGCAGATTTAAGGGCTGAGGGTGTCAAAGGACCCAAAGAGATGTACATCTCCTCTGGTGTCCAGCATCAACATTGTGAGGATCTGTCCCCCTTAGTCAGGCTCGGCTCTGAGCAGAAGCCCTGCTTTGTTCAGCTCTCATTTGCTTAAACATTTCCTTAAAACATATTAAAAAAGCTGTAAACAGTAATGTTAGCCCAGCTGGTGGTCTGATTAAAATGGCTGGCCCATGTCACACAGATTAGACATGAAGGTAACTGTACTTTCCCAGATCCCAAGGGTTAGTATTTTAGCAATAGAAACCTGTTATCTCAAGAAGATTTTCTGCTGAGAAAGCAGCACACATAGACCACACAACCAAGGGCAGAGTATTTGTGCAATTTGCACAGGACCTCTTGTGTAACCTGAAATAGGCACAAAAATTAACTGCCTCATAATGGAGCTTTTCAAAACCCTTGAAGACCAGCAGTGATTGCAATGAAGTTTATTTTCCAAATGTGTTTCCACTGGTTTGCTAATTATATCCTTGTGCAGTCATGTAGGCTACATATCATTCCATTAATGCAAGTTAAATGAAGGAGAGTAAATAATGGTAATCATAATACTACAAAAGCTGTGATAGGGTAATTGCTAGGCAAGAACAATGTTGATAAAAGATGGCAACAGATGCATTAAGAGCACTGATTTTTGCTAAAACCAGAAGACAATTCAGTATTAGCATTTTTTATAGTTTTGCTGTGAATATGCTAGTATTCATAAGTCTTAAATTCTAAACCGGTGTGATTATTCCAGAAGCTCATCTACTTTTTAAGAATAAACTCCTCAAATTCAGAGTTGAAGAGAAAACCTTAGAAATATTATCAAATGCCCTTAAATGTTTCAGAAAAGAACAAACTCAGATGGCTTTGAAAATCAAGAATGCATGATTTTTTTTTTTTCTGAAAAAGTCCCAAAGGTACCTTAATATTATTGTTTTAAGCCAACCTCACTCACCCTTTTCTCAAACTTCTGGAATTATTTTCAACAGCTGTATTTAGAAACTGTGAAACTACTTCCTCTGTTGGGTGAACATCCATGCTCTTTCTTTTCAGGCACTTGCTCATCTGGGTAAGATCTTTAGGAGCCTCTTAAGGGCTCCAGTTCTACAATTGCATGAGCAAGAAGGAGAGGACAGCAGGACTGTACCTCCAGAGGGAAACAGTTCTAAGGATTTCATGATCATATTGTATAATTTTTGGGATCTTTTCTTGAGGCTAGTCTATTCCCATGGCCTGAACAACCATTAGACCCTGGAGCATGGTAGATGTACTGCTAACACACACCTTAAAGTTTCTATACCTATCAACTAAATTTGTTTGTGCTCCAAGATTGCTCTGGTGTGTGAACCAAAGTGTGGTCAGGTGGGGTGTTTTGATAATCCTCTTTCAAAATTCTCTACTGATCTCCATAATATGTTTATTCAGATATATGCTATATGTTTCTGCCAATGACAGAAAAGTGCCACATCCATTGCCAGCCCTGCAGCTCACTTGCCCAGTGAATGAAGCTGCTAAGGTGGAGTGCTATGGCTGCCATTAGAAGTCAGCAACCACTTATTTACATTTACTGCTGGGAGAAATAGGAAGGTTAAGGAAAGCACTGCTAATCCCTTCCTGTCTGTTCTCATCTGTTATCCAATAGCTATAAGGAATTTTTTACGGTTTACACTGTAAAATGAAAATCTGTCCTGACTGACAGGCCATGGGCAATTTGGGTCACGTTTTATTCCTTGGCAAAGCACAGCTCAGACAGATTGCTGTGTCACAGCAGAGACCATTATTCATAAGCAAGACTATTTTTAACATATAAAGGGAGAGAGAAAAGTGTTAATGTTACTTAAAATTAACATCTGATGTAGGCAAATGTGTTGATTATTTTTGCCTTACTGAATCTGGTCTGCATATAAGAAATGTATTTTATACACACATTAATATGTATAAATATTAATCACATACATTAGTATGTATCCATCACGTGCATTAATTTGTAATGTTACTGGATTTTGACATTTCAAGTACAACTTGCCAACTAGCTCTTGAAGTTCTGCATACCTGGAAGGAAAAGGAAACTGGCACATTGCCCATGGTCAGAGTGTGCAACCCATAACACAGCTCAACCCCGTGGTCTCTTTGCAGGAACCTATGTGACAGTTCTTTTCTGAGACTGAACTGAAATTCTGCTTAGTTTTCTCCTCTGGCAGACACTGAAGCATTAAGAGGCAAGATTGAGCATGAAACACAGATAGAGAAGACCTATCACACCCATCCTTCATAGGGCCTTCAGGTGGATGTTATTGACAATGTGGTTTGTTACAAATGTCATTTTGGTAATGCTCCCTCTGGGGTGCTAGAGCTTTTGCTTTGTCAAGGCAATGCTTTGTGTCATATAATTTTGTGAATGCAAACAGCCTCACTCTGTTGACCTGTAATTTACTATTTTATTTTTACTAATCTATTCTAGCAATGTGCTGCATCCTTTTCTGCCAAACAAGACAACATTATACAATTCCAGCTGTGTTGTTTCCCCATAGCTGGTGGGGAATTTGAAGAGAGTAACATGATGAGTACTGCTAAAGTGGTAGCTAGTACTGGG